CATTAACCAACACTCTTACCTTTGGTGCTATCAATTCCATATATTTTAAATCTACATGTTTTAAATGCATGAGGTATAATACTCAATGCTTTCAAACAGAATATTTGTTTATATTTTTCCACCTTTGCATCTTCTAGTGCTCTCATTCTGTTTTGCAATGTGCTTACATCTGGGATCACTTTCCTTCAGAATTCCCGTTAGTATTTCTTGTAGTGCAGATCTGCTGGAAACAAATTCTCTCAGCTTTTGTTTATCTATAAACATCTTTATTTATCCTTCCATGTTGAAGGATATTTTTGCTGGATATAGAATTATTGGTTTGCAGGGTTTGTTTGTTTGTTTATTCTTCAACACTAAAATGTTAACCTGTCATTTTCTGACTTCCATAGTTTCTGTTGAAATATCAGTCATATGTCTTTTTGATGCACATTTGGAGGTATTATCTCTGTTTTCTCTAGGTATATGAAGATTGTCAGTGTGTTTTTAGTTTTCAGAAGTGTGTCTATGATGTGCTCAGTTGTGGTTTTCTTTGTATTTATTCTGTTTGGGGTATGTAGAGGTTCTTGAGTATACAGTTTTATGTCTCTAATTAATTTGGGGAAATTCTTAGCCAGTATTTCTTCCAATATTGCCTCTTTTTATATTCTCTATAATATTTCTTCTAGTACATAAAACTTTTCTTAGCACTTTGTTCAAAATGTTACTGTATTTTATTGAGGAAATATCTCACAATCTAGTGGACTTGGGTACAAATATCATACTTCCTGCTTTCTTGTAAGGATGTCATATAATCAATTTAAGAGTTGAGAAAGTGCTAATGAACCCTGCTTTATGACACATCATGAAATACTGTTTTCTTTAACTTTCTGTATTTTGAAACATTGCATGATTAAATTAAAAATTATAAAATATTGGTCCTATTTTTATGTTAAAAATTATAAGCTAAATTTAAAGAGAAGTATTAACCTTTAATGAGAGAAAATATATAAAATTTTAAAAAGGTCAACCTTACTAATAATCTTGGAAATACCAATTAAAATAGTTATAAGATACTGTTTTATTATAACAAAGAAGTGATTTATTTTTCTGTTTATTTAAAACCCAATGTGTTGGGCATTTGCATACATTCTTAGATTCTTAGATGGGGACAAATTGATACAACTTTGTAATGCAATTTGTCAGTATATACTGAGAGCATTAAAATGCTCATACATCTTGGCTAGGTTATTTCCACCTCAACAAAACAGAAATGTGGTTGTTAATCACTTGATAGTGAAATTCTGAATTGTTTTTATTTTTATCCTTATATTTTTGTTTAATTTCTGTACTATAGTATACACAGTGAGTATAATATACTTTAAAATGAAAAAAAATCTATTAATTTCACATAAAAAACTTGAACACCCTAACAATAAAACTCTTAGGAAAATAATTAAATACTGTATTAGTACAACTAAGAAGTTGTAGTAGGTACAGTCAAGCCCAGAGGACAAATGATTAAACCTGCTTGAGTAGGGTCAGGGAATGCTGTGCCAACAAGAAGATTTAGCTTGCCAAGTAGTTAGTAAGGAGGGAAGGATATTATTTTCAAAGAAAACACAAAAGTATGCTAAGGAGTAAAACAGTGTTCCTCAAAGTGTGATGCAAGTGTACATCCTCATCATCTAGAGTCGTTGTTTATAATGTCCATCTTTGAGTGCCAACTCAGACCCACTAAGTCCAAACCCCTGGGCATGGGGCATAGGAGCCTGCAGTGTGCCTGGCTCCCCAGATGGTTCTCATGCACAAAATTTGATAACCACATTATGGAAAAATAAAGCAGTATGATGTGCTTTGGAAACTGAACATAATTTAATGCAACTGAATTGGAGGTTACAGGTGATGGTGGAATGAGGGGGATGAATCTGGAGAGGAATGTCATGGTCCACTTGTAAGAAGTCTTAAATGACATGCTAGGGGCTGGGACAAAAATGTAAAGATTCAATAGGAAACCACTGAAGAGCTTTAGTCAGAGGAGTAACCTGATAAGATTACCCTGGCCTCAGTGTGGATGACTGGATATGGAGCAGACATAGGCAGGAAGGAGACTTGGGAAAATGTTTTAATTTTCCTGGAATAAAATAAGGAGGATTAGAGTGGACTTGAATAGATACACTTGGTCATCAATTGAATACATGAGTGGAGGGAGAAGATGTAATTTTGGATGATTCTGGCTTGCCCCATCTCTAAGTTTATAATAGAATACACAGACAAAGAATATTTTTAAGCTACAACTCTGCATATTTCTACTTTTCCTTGTTTTTATCAAAGACCTATATTTTACTAGAAACAGGAAACTTGTAAAGACAAGCTTCTACAGCCACTATTAAAATATAGGGACAGACACTGCCAAGGACATTCCCTTACTGACTAGTATCAATAGCTAAGTGTCTACAAGACTGGTGGCAGAGGTGGCATGTACGCTTAGAGGTACCGTGATCCAGGCAATCTTGAAGGCTCCATTGTAGTTTCTATGGTTGACCATGTAGCAACATGTGTGCATAGAGGAGGCATGAGTGGTAGTCCAGAGTCATTTTTTTCAATAAAAGACTGTGTTATTAAAAGCCAGTCCATTCCGTTTTCTGTCTTTGTGTCACAGAATGAGATATTCCTTTTAATCAGTCTGTCTGGTGAGACCACAGTAGTGACTCGTCTTCAAGCTGATTATGACAAGAAGGAATTTCCCTTCGACTGCAGAACGTCCTACAACAGCTTTCTTTATTTCTTAATTAAAATAAAATGGCAGAGGTTTGGGTATTAGAATAGTTGTATGAAAAGGATCGACTTCCTACTCATGCTGAGCAGTGGGCTAAGTGGGGTCCATGATCCCCTAACGCCTTTGGCTACAGGGGGGTTAAAGGCAGCAAATACCAAATCAAGCTGCCCTGGAGCAGTGGGAACCCCCAAACCCCCAAAGGCTCTGTACCACTCACTGGACAACCCCAGAGCATGCTCAAGATTCTTCTGCCATAATCATTCTCCAAAACCACCAAAAACAGTCATAAATACAGGCCTTATTCAAACAGAAACCTTTTAATGACTTGCTACTTTTTGTGTGTGTGTGTGAGGAAGATCAGCCTTGTGCCAAAGTCTGCCAATCCTTCTCTTTTTTTTTTTTTGCTGAGGAAGACTGGCCCTGGGCTAACATCCGTGCCCATCTTCCTCCACTTTACATGGGACGCCACCACAGCATGTCTTGCCAAGCGGCGCGTCGGTGCATGCCCGGGATCCAAACTGGCAAATCTCGGGCCGCTGCAGCGGAGCGCGTGCTCACTTAACCACTTGTGCCACCGGGCCAGCCCATGACTTGCCACTTTTTGTTGTTGTTATGTCTCATAGTCTACCATATCGCTGCCTCCTCCTCCCCCTTATTTTTAAAATTTCATTGGTTTGTTGGAGAAAGTGAGATATTTGTCCTACAGAGTGTCTGGCATGATGGATTTGGCTGATTGATTTTCCCTGGTTTCTTCTAACTTGCTTCTTTATTGTTTTATAATCTGGCAATATGATAGTAAGGTCTAAGGCTTGACTATCTTCAGGTTCAATTTTTTCTCTTTTTCCTTCTGCAAGATTGCTTCATGGGGAGGGGGTGTGCACTTCTTATTGTATCATACCAAGAAACAAATAGTGTCTGTTGGCAGACTTTTAGTAATGTTAAAATCATCCATGGATTCAGAGACATCAGCCTAACTCTTCCATCAACCTTTCATGCTGTGGTTTCAGCATCCACACGTGATCATTACCTAGTTGCATACCTCCATTAGGGGTAGCTTCTAACATTTTAAAGCATGTATTAGGTGGGGTTCTTCTATGAATAATTTTCTCTCATACACTATTTAGTTTCCCTGTGGTACAGATTTTACGGATAAACAAAAAGGAATAAACGCTTTATTCTTTCTGTTAATTCATCAGTTTTCAAAGTAATGAGATAGCACCCTAGCAATTTCCAAAAGTGACCAAGGAGGGGTGTGAGAGTGTGTGTGTGTGTGTGTGTGTGTGTGTGTAATTATTAACTCATTTTATGTACTCATATATACTGTGGTCATTATTTGTTTTGATGCTCATATTGCCTCATTTTAGGTCAGTGGAATCCTCTTAATGTTACACTCCTGTTTTTGTGAGATGATTAATTAGTCTTTGATAGCTTCCTTGCTTTCTGAAATAAGATGGCCCAGGTTCATCTTACATATTTCCTGCCCTAGACCTGGACTCAGTAACTTCTCTTAAGAACCCTGGTTCCTTCTAGCGAGAAATAGTATTTAGAGACCACAGTCTGGATGCTAGGCGTACTTACTGCTACTGGGTTGTCAATGCTTCAATGAGTTTTCAAAGGAAGGGTAGAAATACAATTTTTTTTCTTTTGAAAGACAAAATAAATTTTGAGTTTATACTATTTGATATTCATTTGAGTTCAACTGTTTTGGTTTGTTTCCAATTTTAGAAAAAAATGCTGTTTATTCTTTTTTAATTTGGTTTTTAATTATGCAAAATATTTACATGGTCTAATATTAAAACTATATAGTAAGGTACATTAACATAAATTTTATTTCCATACCTGTCCTCATTTCCTTCCTCCCCCATAGGTAACCATTTTTATTATCTTTGTATCTTCTGTGATCTGTGTGTGTGTTTAGTCATATTGTTCTAGACCCTGGTTTTTTTAATGTATTCTGAGAGTCAGATGATATCCATATATAGATGTTTTGCCCATTTTTCATCCATAATTTCTTCAACCAACCCCCTATTGATAAGCATCTCGTTTGTTTCTAGTTTTCAGTTACTCCAAATAATACATCAATGAATGTCCTCAGACATATAACACTTTGTATTTTTGTCACAATAACTTTGGGATAGATTTTTAAAAGAGAGATTGCTTAAGCAAAGGGCAAATGCATTTATAATTTTGCAAGATCAGGGGCATACTTTTAAACATATTAATCTTGCCAAGAAAATGTAGGAACTTTTAAAAATATTTTATTACAGAGAAAGAAAAAATCTCTTTACCTGGAATGATCATATTTATCAAGAATAATTTATTAGTGAAATTTAAATGATTAAATTCATGCATGGTCTCTGGTGTAATATAAATAAACACCTTGAACAATAAAAAATTTTAACAACTTTAGTGGTCTCCAATCCATCAAATCTTAGGAAATACTATAACAACAGGAAAACTATTAAAAGCCATCTCTTTATATGTATACACAAAGACATACATGTGAGTGGGGACGGATTAGATGGATAGATGGATAGATGAGAGAGAGAGAGAACTTTAACCCCCAAGGAGAACATTTTTTATTTTAATAAATTTACTAGCTTTTTAATTCAGTCAAAAAGGTTATTTTATTATCTTTTGAATGACACAATAAAAATGGAAGTAAGTTAGTAGTGTCTACATAATAGCACTTATAATATTTTTTAAAGTGTTGGTAAATCTGCAAGTTTGTCACTTTGGGCCTAAAATATAATCCAACTTTTAAATGCAAAATGAAATGTATTTGCTAGACCTTTTTACAGTCTTATGTGTTAAAAGGGCATGATTATATTGTCTTATGCTTTTCAGTTAATATCATCTTCTGAAATAAGAAAGAGTAACCCCAAAAACTGGTTGAGTCATATTTGCTTTTTTATCTTACGCACAGCAAGAATTCAACTTCATGAAAAATAGTTGAACAGTAACCTAAAAATAATAGATTCACATTTGAATAGCAGCTAGTTATGTATAAAAATACACAAATAAAAAAAGTAACTTGTATCAAAAAAATGGGTGAATAAATCATTAATGATTCGTTTACTCATGTTGCCATATTATTCTTCAGATGTAACTATATTCACAAGATGATATATAGAAAAAATGGTTAAAATTGCTTCCTCCGAAGTTTCAGGCTTCTATTGGCAAGGAAAAGTTTTGGCATCTTCCTATTCTTTTTCTTCTTCAAGGCTAAAGTCAACAAAATAAAAATAAACATCATGTCTCCACTCAGTAGGCTCACTATAAATCACCACATTTCCAATATGCTTACAAACTTACTTCATCTTATTTTTAATGATTATAAAGTCAGTTTTACTCATTATCCACTCAGTTAATTACATTCTAACTTTAAAACACAAGGATACAGCTACTGTATCTAGATACTGTAGCTAGCCAGTATAAGCATTTTGACAAAACTGATTAGGACTAAAATGCTATTTATGTAGAAGTAGTCTAGAAATGGCAATATGCTATTAGTAAAACGGATATACAAAAATATAATTTTGCTCATTATTTATAAAGTTAGTTCAAAAACTGAATAAGAGAAAACTCACTACCTTTTGTGCAAACGTGTCTGCAATCCTTCAGGTTAACAAAGTTATTGTTATTCCCTCCACAGCCAGTATAGGTGAAGGCCTCACAGGCTTTGTGTCTTGGATTAAAATAATAGCGAGTCACGTTAGCAGAACATAGTCCCTCATCTTTTGGACTGTAGCAAAATGATGGACCTTTAGGAAAAAGAAAATAAAATTAGAAATGCAATAATACCAGAATTAATAAACCGTGATGATTACGAAAGTAAGTGAAGAAAATCTAATCCCATAGAAGCTTCATTCTGAATCCAAAATATCATACTAAACCATTTAAAAAGCGTGCCTCAAATTTCAAGAAACCTTACATGCTATATTTTGTTAATTCTAAATTTTTATAAACTGGACAGAGTTTCTCCTGAAGCTATGACCTTGTATCATCTGAATGTGTAAAGAAATTAAACCCAAAAAACAGACACAGTCAAGTAAAAATGAGCTACGTTTCAGGGGATAATATATGACATGCTTTGGTAAACTTTCTTGTGTTGGTAGTTTTATTTTAAATGCTTTTATCAGCTCTCCTTCCATTATTAATCAAGAATACATGGATCTAATTCCCAGGTAGCCACGGAACATTTACATTTACACAAACAATATAAGAGAACACCAGCAACACAACTCCTTATTAAGTTAAGATTTTGCTTATTCAACAAAGCTATAGAGCTTTATCAAACGGTCTGCCAAAGGAAGTTTTCCTTGTTGTTGAATTTATTTATCTATATGTATGTGTCTCCACTGTGCCTAGGGAAAATGCCTGTATTGTCTCTCTCTACAAATATTAAATACTGCCCAAGAAACCCACCATTTCAGGGACTGCAGGGGAAGGAGGTAGGTAAGAAATGGGAAGAGGGATAGAGATCTCTTTGTGCTCCAGTTTGCAATGATTAAAGGATACAGAAATCTAACCAGAAACTTGAGCAATTTTCAAGTTTCACCATCTTTAAGTCTGTAGAGATTCCACTATCTCATATACACAACCAATTCCATATGAACCAGAGGTCATGGCAGTCATTAACGAATATTGACTTTTTTATGTGTAAATTGAGTAGGTGAGAAATAGGTCTAAAGAAACAATGCAGAAGAGGAAGCAAAAACTTAAATCATGGCTTTGTCACTTCCCAGCCCTGAGAACTTGGAAAGTCATTAACTTCTCCTGGCTTGTACTCTCATACGTAAAAATGGGGATAACACTTCGCCATCACAGGGCAATAGTATGAAGATTGATATTGTATTACATGTGAAATCACCAGAATGCAAACCATGTTAATTCCACTCAAATTATTGATTTTTTTCACCCTCAGTCTTAATAAAGAAATGAAATAGAAATGCCATAAAAATAGTATTTACTTTTCTTTGGTGCACAGAAGCCCATACAAGTAGCTTCATCTGGGAACCGGTTCTCATTGCTGTGACACCCGCCAGATATGAATTTTTCACATGTCATGGAACTTAGATTGAAGAAATACTGTTTTCTGGGCTCCCCACACTGCCCCTCACTGACTTCCAATCGGCAAATTTTGGGAACTTCTAGCAAAAGGAGGGCATAAAACAATGTTAGTGAAAAATCAGGCTTCTTAGTATTACTTTCAAAACTTTACTGTATTTTCAGAAACAAGTGGGGGGAAAAGGCATCATATTTAGTGCTGGGGTAGATAATCCCCCGAAGACTGCCCATTAATCCAGTTATTTAGCGTTTTTTAACAGTGGCTCCAGCTCTGACTCAGCTGTGATAAATCTTTCAAATGCAGTGGAAAGACTGTTCTCTCAGGGTGTTCTAATTGTTTCTACATATGAAGTTAATCAAACTTATTCACAGGAAGACTCATTTTCCCCTGGCCCAGTTCCTTGAATGGCAAAGCCTCAGGTTCTGTTACAGGCCTTAACAGAAACAATGAGTATAACCAAAATACAATAGAAAACGGTATCATGAATCTCCACTAATCCCTATAGTAACCCAAGACATATGTTTGGGTATCGGCTGACAAAAGTAAGGTTGTAATTAGCTAAATCACACTTTAATAATAAAAAACCTTATACAATTTCAAATTGATGGATAACCGACACGAGGAAATGGTGTTCTCAAGAAGGCATAAAAACCATAGGTTTAGAACTAATGACAAATATAGAAAAGCACTTACGTTGCACCTAAAACATTACACCTTTGCGTTATTACGCCCCACGGTGAAATCTTGCCCTGAGTCTGCACAGGCACCAAATTATGATAGTTGCCAGTTAGGAGAGAGGAAATGTGTTAGCGGTTGTAAACTTGTGATTACTTTCAGGAAACTGAAAACCAGTGTGCCTTGCTTAATACTTGAGAAAATTCAGGCTAAAACTTACTGTAGAAAGTGGGATCTGGCAACTTAGCTAAGTTACTACCAGCCCTTCCTTGCAAGGGGCGGCGCAGGAGTTCTGAGTGTGCGTGCGACAACTTACTCTCTATCCTCCAGCAAGCTTCATCGCAGGCCGCCCAAGTTTCGAAATTGTTGGCGTTGCCCTCGCAGCCCCCGTACATGAACTGGCGGCAGCTCTGCGTGTACCTGTCGTAGTAGTAACTGGGGATCCGGGCTCGGCAGGGCCCTTCGTCCGGGGGCAGCAGGCAGATTGCGTTGTTTCCTGCAGGCGGGGCAGAAGGAAAAAGCAAAGAGAGGGAAGGAGGTCAGCCACATCTCCGGGGAGGGAGAGGCTTCCCGGGGAGTTCTGTCCCCTCCGTTTGGAGCAGAGGGGCCTCTGCAGAGAAAGAAAGTGCAAACTTGGGCGCAAGCGCCCTCATCGCACGGCTCTGCAGGGCGCCCGGCAGGAACCTGGGAAGAGCAGGGCGCAGAGAGCGGGTGCAGGGGGCCCCACGGCCCGCCGCGCCCTGGCCGCCTGGTCTAGAAAAAGCCTGGCAGGAAGAGGGACTCCTAAACGGCCCGATACCTGGCGGCACCTGAGCAGCATCTCCCAGCACAGTCCCCATCAGGAGCAGCGGCAGAAGCAACAGCCCGAGGGAGTGAGCAGCGTCCATGACGAGGTGTCCCAAGAAAGCGCTAGCGGGAGGAGGGTGCGCAGCGGCCAACATCTAGGCAGCCTGGGTGCCTGCTTTATGTAGGGTGAGCGTCTGCCGACCCGGGACGGGGCGGAGCGTGTCTGTGCAGAGCCTGGAGGGGAGGTTGATTCATGCCTGGCGGGCTGTGACCCCAGCCGCCCAGGCGCTGGAGAGTGTGTGCGGGGGAGAGGAATTCCCCCAAGTTGAACCTGCCTCACAAACTTTCTTCTGTACCCGGCGAGGATGACCAGATGGGGCATTGTGTCAGTGATGGGAAGTTGACAAGCTAGAGGGAAATGACCTGGGGGTGATTTCATAAGGTTCCAACTTGCAGCATCACACTGAAGCCTGAATCCACATTTTGAAAGCACGAAATCCACGTTTTTGAAGGGCAGAGAGAAAGTGTGAAGTTACATAGAACTGAGAGGAGCCGGGCTCAATGCAATGGACCCTTTAATTAGATTAGAAATTTAAGTATATATGTATTTATTTACATTTATACATATATACATATTTCAATCGAAGTCTAATTAACATTTAATAAAAGTCTCATAATATATCTTAAATGTACAGTTTGTTGAATTTTGACAATTATATACACCTTTGTAATCACCACTCCAATCAAGAGTTAGAACATTTCTATCATCCCAGAACATTCTCTTGTACCCTTTCCCAGTCCATCCTTCTATCCCCAGACCAGGGGCAAGCATTCTTCTGATCACCGTAGATTGGTTTTGCCTGTTCTTAAATCTCATGCAAATAAAATAATAAAGAATACACTGTTTTGTACTTCTTTTGCTCCATTACTGTTTTTGAGACACACATGTGTTACTGTACAGTTTGTTCCTTTTAAACGCTAAGTAGTCTTCCAATATATGAATATTCCACAAATATCCTATTATTGGACATTTGTGTTGTGTCTAGTTTGGGAATATTATAAATAAAGCTGCTTTGTGTATACAAACAACTTTTATTACTCTTGGGTCAAATGTTTAGAAATATTTAGAAACTGTCAAACAGTTTTCCAAATGATTATATCATTTTACCCCCTTCAGCTATGTGTGAGAGTCGCAGCTATGTTTTTTGAGCTGGAGCATGAAAGTCCAAAGAGAGGTGGCCTCAGGGGATCCCAAAGCTTTGACCAGATCAGCCCCCTCCCACACATTCCCTCATGTCAGTGCATCTATTGAAGCTCATTGCTCGTTGGACATATTAGCTGGAGTCTAACTTTTTGTTTTTAGAAAACAAATTATCTACACTGGGATTTTACATGAACTATTAAAGATATTTCTCCTAAAGATATTTCTGGAGAACATTTTAATGGGTTCTCTTGATGAGTGTGTCTTCCCTTCCTCCCCCTTTTCCTCTTGTTCTGTTCAATAGTCTCAAGAGAATAATTATACTCCACTTTCCCTGAGGGTACCGGAGGGAGTTTACAGGCGTTCTCTTTCAAGTTCCTGAGAATCCCTGTGCTCACAGTGGGTTAATAGTCTATATACCTTCTTGTGTAAGTTTTCATTTATCCTGATGTCATGGCACAGAATCATATTCCTAGGAAAACTAGCCTTGTGTGAAAATACTCAGCGTCACATATGCTCTCAGACTACCAGGTATCTATGATTAAGAAGGACAGAACGTGGTTACCAGAGGTGGAGGGTGGGAGGAGGAGGAATTGGAGGAAGGTGGCCAAAAGGTACAAACTTCCAGTTATGACGTAAATAAGTCCTAGGGATGTAATGTACAACATGATGACTATAGTTAACACTGCTGTATGATATACAGGAAAGTTGTTAAGACAGTAGATCCTGAGTTCTCCTCACAAGGAGAATTTTTTTTTCTGTTTTTTCTTCTTTTTTTTCTTTATATTATATCTATGTGAGATGATGGATGTTAGCTGAACCTATTGGGATAATCATTTCACAATATATGTACATCAAACCATCATGCTGTACACCTTAAACTTATACAGTGATAGATGTCAATTATTTCTCAATAAAACTGGGGGGAAAAAAAGAACGACAGTCAGAGATATAAGGACAAATGTTTAACAACCAGCTCTCCAGGAGGAAAAAAACGAGGAGGGGCTGGTTTGTATAGTTTACTGATTTCCACGGTGTAAATTCTCCCATTATGGCCAATTTCAAGCTACTAGAACTGGAAATAGACGGGTACAATGGGTTCCCCAGAGCCAGTGTGAGCTGGCTCCAGCACGCCAACCACTGAGACAGGCAGCTGGTTTTGGAAAGACTCATTCATAGGAGAGTCAGATTAGACCCTCCCAGTACCTTCCAAATAGTATTCGTGGAAAGAAATTTTATCAAACGTTTAACCATGATTGTGTTCAGGAGAAAAGTTAATTCAACTTCAAACTTACCTATTTCCATTCCTTTGAATATGATTAAATGTATCTCCCAAATGGACTAAAATAAATTCAAGGACTGATACTGAGTCAAATTTGTCATTCAGCGCTGACTATTATCACTGCTGTTCTTTGTTCTCAGCTGCTGGCACTTTTTGATCATGTTTTGCTTCATATAAAAAGAGGAATCTTTTGAATTAAGGCAGATTATTTTGGGAAATTGCATGATGCAATGGGAAAATAGACTTGGGAGTCAGAGGAGACCTGGATTTTATTCTTTGCTCCTTTGGGCAAGTTACATAAACTCTCTGAGCCTTGGTTTCCTTATCTGTAAAATGGCTATAATAACTGTACCTTACAAGTGTGTTATGAAGATTAAAGGGAAGGTGCCTAGGCACTCAAAGAGATGTGGTTAGCTCTTCACACACAGGCACAGAATACACCCAGATCATCCCATGTCCTGGTGCCCACTGAGAGCCTTGGCACAAAATTTTAAGATGGAAAATCAACCACAATCAGGAAACAGAACAACATGAACAAGGCTTGTAGGACTGAAACCTGTGACTTTGTTCCCTTCAGCTCTTCTCTTTGGCTGAGCGCAGAGGCCACCTCTCTGCCCAGGAAGGTGTCACACAGACATCACTTTGTCATGGTCTCTTCCGGGGAAAGGAGCTTCAGGACTCTCTCACCTAGAACAGAGTACTCAGTCCACTCAGGCCTGCTGTGTAGCACATGGAGTGGGAGAGGGAGGTGGTTCAAAACCAGGCTTTTCACCCCTTTGTGGTGTAGAGTCTGTAGACACAGATTGAAATCCATGTTCAGAGGTACTCTATAAATGTTAGTTTCCTTCCCCTGTTCTATAGCAAATAGGGTGCATCTTTAACACCTCCATGACCACTAAGCAGGGACAGGGAAGAAGGAGAATCGAACTAGTGGGGTAGTTAGAAGTTTGAGATTGTCAAGCCAGGTTATTAGGAAGGAAATTACTCCTCTTCATTGCAAAACAGTTGAGTATTTTTTTATGCATGAAAAAGATATCTTCCAATATAAAGGGGAATCTAAATTTCCTGAGACTACTTTAAATTACTGAATTTATCCTCAGGACCATGTGGAAGGAGCCGTGTGACTACCAAAATCAGCCTCCATAGGGATGTCATAGTACTTCTATCTCCTTAAACCAGTGTTTGGGCCAAAGGTTACCACATAGTTGAGGAAGAAAATTCCTTTATCCAAAGTCAACAGGAAGTACAAGCCTGGAGGGAATGAGAAGAACAGTCACCCAGATTGATTTGTCATTGCTATACCAAGTGACAGCCTTGGTGACTGCGGCTAAAGACAGAGGCTCAAAATAGTTTGAAGTTCTGTAAAATAAGGCATAGAGTTCTTATAATTTGAGTGCTTAAAGAAACTACAAATGCCATCTGTTCCAGTATTTTCATTTTACAGAGTTATAAATTGAGACCTAGAAAGATAAAATGACTGGTCACGTTTATTTATCTTAGTTGCTGGCAGAGCTGAGACTAGAAGAACCCAAGTTCTTGATCCTCAGCCCTGTATTCTTTCCAACATACCCAGACCTGGGCTCTTTCCATTGTACCAGGACCTTAGAGTAGAACACTAAATACCTGAATTAAAACACACAAAAGCTACAGTGAGTTTGGGAGCACCTGTGCATGTATCAGATCCCTGCTCTGTTCTTTCTCCCACCTTAGCACCATAGCGAATGCATATGAAGCTGATTTGGAACACGTTAGCTCTTAGAATTCCCAAGTGTTGAGCACGATGTTCTGTCATCTGAGAGCCCCACAGGCTTGGAATGTGACCATGAAATTTAAGGAAAGGATTGAGGCAGACGGTCTTCCTCTGTGTCAGACACCTTAGAGAGAGGTGGCATGTCTAGCTCATGAGTGAATGAGGAGAATTAATCGAGTCCAGTGATGTGGGGATACTTATTATAATACTTATTATATAACACGGTCACTTAAAGAGTTACATTGATAATTCCTTAATAAAATTATGCTGCCTGTTGTTTAAGTCCTGTCAAAATAAAATCTGAATGAGTCCAGCTGACAGTAACAAGCAGTTTACACATCTGCTAACAAGGGCAATTAATCTCTTCTGAGAGGTTAGGGGTCACCAGGGTTTTGTTAAAGTTTAGGCAACTCCTTCACTAACTAGGCATTTTTCTAGCAAGTTGAGCCGCTTACGACATGTTTACTCTACTGCGCCCTCTGTCGGATACAGAGCATATATGTGAGTGTTATATAATAAGGTGGAGCCACGTAAAAGGATGACACAATTCCTATGCCTAATTTTATTATTCTTGTTTTCCCTAGGGACAACAAGATAACAGAGTATACGCTATGTCTTTTACATGGTCATTCTTTCATTCACATTCTTTCAATCTGCTATTTAAAAAATAAGCAGATTTAATATTTAAAATGTGCCAAACTTTGTGCTAGGTGTTTGGGATACAAAGATGAATAATCATGTTAGGGATTTCACAGCATAATAGGGTAGAGAGATAAACACTATATAACCCAGTTGCAGTATAATGTTCTTAGCACAATATTAAAAATATGTACTAGATTCTATGGGACCATAGAGGAGGAAATAAATAAAATTTAAGTAATAACTCAATTCAAAATAAAAGCCAATCCACACAAACATATCGAACATTCCATCTTCTTTGCCTGTGGCACACAGAGACTCATTCCGTCATCAGCTAGTTGCTTTGGTTGGATTATTTTAGGAGCTATG